GAGACGTTGACTGTCTCACTGATAAGCAGCTGAATTGATGATGCTTTGCACTCACCCACACTGACTCTCTTTCTCTCTCTCTCTCTCCCTCTTTCTCGTTCTGTCTGTGTGTGCCAGTTTTTGTAGTTTAAATTGAATTGCAGCTGCTCTGGGGATAACACCGCTTGGCCTTTGCCAACACTGCACTGGCCTTGCCACGCCCACAACCCCCAACTGCCAACAGTAGCAGCAGCAGCAGCCTCGACTGCTGTCAGGTGTTAAATCTTCAAATTGCTTTGAGACCAGCCCCAAAACCCCTTACCCCATACCCTATACCCCTTGCCGTACCTATCACGGCATCCAGCAGAGTGCACGTAAAATATGCAAATGCAGCTGCGAATGCAGTTAACACTTAAAATATTGCGAGTGTCAAATGCCTCAATATTCCAGAGGGAAATGTAATACCATTGGCACAGCTGGAAAAAGACCAAGAAAGAAAGAGGCACACAGTACAGGATAGAAAAAAAACGAGGGAGAGCGCGCGAAAAGTGCATAAATATTATACCCTTTAAGTGTAAATAACCAAATTTGAATTATATTCGCAGTTGCTTGTGAGAATGGCCCAAAGGGCGAAAACTTTCTTTAATACAATCGGGCTATTCCTCATATAATGTTTAGAGCAACATAATATACAGTATCCGTTGTTCGAGCGGTGCGATATAAAGTATAAGGTATAAGGTTTCATATGTAAGTCTATATGTAAGTTTTATATGTATGATCGCATTTAAATTGTCCTTAGGTCAGTCGAGATATTGTGTATCTTTGTATCTCCATGTCAATCGTCTCCTTTTTGGTGAGAATGGTTCCCGAGAGCATATGCTTATTTATATCTCTGATTTGTGACGTAACAATAAATGAACGAGGCGAGCGGATATGTTTTCCGGAGACGAGAGGATATAAAAGAAAAACAAGTAAAGGGTTCTAGTCGGGAGCTCCCAACTAGGGGATACCCTGAACCCTCTTCTTCAAACATCAAATGCATATATATATTCTATTTTAGAAGCTATATGTCAAGTTTGGTGACTCTAGCTCTTATTATTTACCAAAATTGCTCAAAAACCCGGATATCGATATCGATATATTTTTATCGATTGCTTGGAAACGGAGTAAGTTATCGGATTATCGATTATCGGAAACAAACTCGATCTGCGCGGGAACTAGGAGCATCTACATCTAAGCTTTCAAGTCTCTAGCTCTTATAGGTTCTGATATCCTTGCGTTCATACATACGGACGGATGGACGGACGGACGGACGGACAGACGGACATGGCTAGATCAACTCGGCTATTGCTGCTGATCAAGAATTTACATATTTTATGGGGTCGGAGATGCTTCCTTATATATAATATATGATTATAATTATTAATATATAGTTTAAGTTATGTAACTAATTTTTTAAACAAACCCACAATAGCACCTCTGGCCTTCGAATAAAATATGATATTTACTGTTCTTTAATCCTTAGCCTAAAGCATGAGCCCTATCTTTCTTGATTCGAAAGTCATCCACTATGGCTGGAGCTCATACTAATTTTAAAATGCTATACCTAAATGAACCTAAATTATTGGAATGAATTTATATGCTCAGCTGCTTATGAGGTATATTTAATCTATTACTTATATTATTGAAATTATTTGGAAGAATTTCTCTTGCATTTTAGGAGAAATTGTCGTGTGGAAAATGCGTTATCAAGTATTACAAAAAAAAAAAAATAAATAAATATATTTTTTCATTTCTTTTTTTCGCAATGCATGTTAGACACTCAGTTGCTCAGACAAACTTTACCTTGTAAGCCCTTTAGTGGGACTTAGCAACAGATGTATCCCCTTTTTATCGCTTTCTTATCTTCCAGCAGTAAAAAAAAGTCTGTTTTCTTCGACTCACTGATGGCGCCTATTTAATATGTTTCTTATAGTAAGCGCTTAATTAATTATTTGTGCTACCTTATTTATCTGACAGTGGAGTAGTTTTAACACCCATTTAAAATCATCGCGAAAAGACTCAATTTAAAAGCCAGGAGTGACAGATATCCGATGACATACACAACCCATATCCACCATTAGCTCACATATGGGCTTGTTATTATTGTAATTACTTTTGCCTTTGACCGCCTATCAAGACACGCATCATTTTCTTCTTCTATATACTAAATGTCAATACTTGAATCGTTTATGGCCGCACTTAAGAAGCTGCCACATTGATTGCTTGCATTAATTGCGGCACATAAGCGAGAATATTTACATGCAGTATGCACCATTGTGCGTTGCCATATCTAAGCAATACGTAACTTGTGCCTTGAATAAAAACTTTAAGCACCGCCAGCTTGAAGAGAAACCTGCCAGCCACATACTTTGAGATGACGCGCTGACACTTTGCACAGAACATAAACTTTACGACGAAGTCGACAGCAGCAGGAGCAACAGTTCCCCTTACACTGCTCCCCGCCTCTCCTGCTGTTTTACAGGGTAACCAATGGCAGTGTTAACACCCCAGCCAGCTCCACTGTAACAAAATGACCCGATTTTCGCATTTTTATGCCTGGCACAGCGACTGTAATTGCTGTTGCTGCTGCTGCGTTTCGAGTGTGCGTGCTGCAGTTTTTACTGCCAGCAATTTTTGAGAAACAACAACAACCACAACAAGGACTGACAAGCAAGAGAAATGTTGTAAAAAATGCTCGACCAGGATATGCCCTGTGCTCAGCTGCGTAATATCATAAAGTTATTACTACTTTTTGCTCAGCTCCATACTATACTAAATTTATTCACACAATCATTTTGTTTTATTTTTGATTTTGAGTAAGCACATACCAAAACTTAAGATTTTTTATCTATTAAGGATGAAAATATATAAATCATCAGTGCATGATGAATGAAAATCTAACTGCTAGGCCGAAATGAATAAGACAATTTAAATTAAACCTGATCCGGGCTTAGTTTACACACGCGCATATAATGAATTTGGGTGCTCTAGCTTTTAATGCAGAGAAGCTTTTTAATTGCCAGAGAAGAGCCTAGGCTGAAATCGATATATATCGATTCAAAGAAAATAAATGAAAGAATCGATCATTTTAAGTTAACTTGACCGGGGCAAACTCTACATACTGTTATATGTCGACATTCGTATCTCCAGTTATTACACAGAAACAAGTACGGACAGGTATGCGAATATGTTTACATTGACTCATTTTTGATGCTGGTCGAGAATGCTTAAGGTATTCAACGATGCCTTCATCCGCTTGCAACAAGCATTCGCACAAAATGCATTATTCCCCTTTCATGTCCATATTAAATGGGTACAGGGTATAACAAGCCAGTGGCCAAAGCATTGTGCCGCATTCGTTTCAACTTCATTTTGCAGCAGCAACAACAGCTCGAAACTTGCAGCTCGCACTTCATTTTGGCTCGCAACTTTTATGTGTGTGTTTTTAGCGGCAGGTGTGAACAACACACGTGCAAAATTTTATTTATTCATTTTATTTGCATGCCACATGTGTGAGTGTATGTGTGCGTGTGTGTGTGTTTGAAAGCTTTGCAGCAGGTTTTCTCTCCCGTGTGTGACTTTTAGCGCGCGCCAGTGAATGCGCAGTTCTAGGCCTATTTTTATGCCTCGAGCAGCAGCTATCCCACTGCACCCATACATTCAACTTGCTCCCCTGCAAGCCGCTCCCCTTACTTCTGCCCACCACACCCCTTTGACTGGCTGGCTTTCAGGCGCAGTGCCTTTTGTTTGTGCGCTCCATTTTTAGTTGAATCCCAACTTTGCGCGGGACACCCGCTTGGCAGGCAGGCAACAAACAACTTGCACACACACATTGAGAATCTAATATGAATTGAGGTTGTCTCACTAACAAAAGCAAACGCCTCGCTCTGACTTGATATATGTATAAATGTAGCCACCTTTGGCTGCCCTCTACGCAACAGAAACTTTGCCCCAGTGAATGCAGCTTGCAATTCCTGACCCTCCCAAGCCCCCTCCCACCGTTGCACAACCCATGGCAAAAGGTGCGAATGAGCCAAATGCCACATGCCACATGACGTTGCATGTAATTTGCTCGACACTCGCCTGGCTGTCGAGCTGGCAGGATGTGTGCGTCCTGTCTACATCCAGGCCAGTCAGCCAAGCAGAGAACTCAAGCCAAGCTGTCATTCAGGGATCACACACACGCACACACGCACACACACACACGCCAACACTCTCCCACACACTCACACAGACACATAGGCAAATAATTAAAATTTCACTTTCTTGGCAATTCACTTTTCATGCACAGCGGCCAAAATGGTGTCATCAGCTTTTGTCACCTTCGTTTTATTTTAAACGACAAACTTTCACTTTAAGCCAGTTGCTTCAATGCGAGTACCGGAAAATAAGTGGATTTTGCTAGTAGCCAATAAATTTTTAATTCAACTAGCAAACGATATTCAAGCTGCTTTTGAAAAATGTAATAGCGAGTGGCGTTTTGACTTAATTTTTAAGCCAGTTACTCTAAAACTGCAACTTTAAGACTTTCAAATTGTAATATATGTATAATAAATTTTCCCAATTTACCGTCCTCTGCTGGGTATGGCCGTCATTGATAGAAAAGAGTACTTCTCTAAATTTTCTTAATTATCTAGTTTAATAGGTTGAGAATAAATGTTGTTTAGTCAGACGGACATGCCACTAAATCAATGCACTTATTTTTCTTTCTAAGCCATTCAACCATGTAAAATGTAATTTTTTTTATTTCCTAACTGATTTCCAGCCACAATGAAACGTTTAAGGATACAGCACAAAGCAGAATTGGGAAATTCAATGACCTCGCAAAAATGTATTAGAAAATAATTTCAGTTTAAGCAAACTGTTCCTATATCATAAGTTGCTTTATAACTCCATCACTAAGATCTCTTAAATTTTAAAATATTCTAGCATCATATTTAGTTATATTGCTTTACATTAGGTAATTTGCTTGTACTCACCACATCGATAATTTGCATTAAAGTTAAACCAAAGCTTAATTGTAACGGGTCCGACTCGTTAAGAACCGGACGTTCTAGTGTATTATATGGATCCAATAGATCATGTAACAGTCTCTTTTCATGATATCCTGCTAGGCAAACTGCAAAAGAAAAATGAGAAGAAGACAATGATAAAAGATGAAAATTAGTTTTCACACAAGTTCCGAATGCAGGCGCTTATAGAGATACAAAAAAATGGATAAGGGTGGGTTAGTTAGGCTGCGGGCTTAGTTAGACTGAAGGTAGGTTGTAGTGTTGGGTGCTCAGAGCGCAGATAGCTGCAAGTGTTTGCCATTTGCCATTTGCCATTTCACAAAAGCACCGCAAATCAACATCAATAATTCGTGCGGCAAATGGAACAAGAGACAGTAGACTAAGGAGAGGGAGAGAGAGGCGTAGGGGATTGCTAAGGTTGCTAGTATAAAATGGGTGCGGAGTTTGACTCGCAACTGAAATTTATTGATATGCAAAAGTTTACGAGTTTCTGGTTTGGTTTGCAACTTGGCCAACTGATTCGATGCCTGTTGTTCCTGTTTCTATTTGCGAGCATGCGGGCAGGCGGGCAGTCGGCACCAAGATGAAACTTTTGCGCTTTTTGTTAAACATATGTCTCTGTGCTGCCTCCACCCAAGCTACCAACCCGCTGACACGTCCCTGTGCCAGGCTGTCTCTCTATTGTTCTGGCTGGCGCATAACAAAGGGAAACTTTTATTGAGCCAGAAAGTTTTTAACATACAAATTTTCTTACTTGCCTGCTGCTTGGACGACTGCTCGCTTTCTTGGCGATAATAAATTGGCTCCGACAAACACACGCACGCACACCCCCACACGCACTTACATAGTAAAGAATGAGAGCAGCAAGAAAAACACTCACACGCCCCGTTATTTGTCTGCCGTCGTTATCGTCGAATTATTTATGCATGCAACCGAACAGGAAAAACTAGAAATACTCTGCACTGCGCTCCTCTCTCTCCCTGCCATTCTCACTCACTTTCTCAATTTGATAATTTCTCAAGAGTTCTTTGCAGTTGCGGATCACAAGTTGCCTCACTTTTCCCCCATTTTTTTCCATATTTTTTTTTTGTGGCATGCAACACAGCGCACAATGGGAATTTCTTGCCACTAAGTAGCATTCAGTGTCGGATTTGTGGCATGAGGCAAGTGCAGCGAAAATTGTGGCAGCGCTTGCTTGAGAATTCATTTTTAATGATTGCCACTTGTGGCGCCTGGCAGAGTGTGCGGGGGCGGCAGAGTTAATATCCTGTCCATGCTGTGATGGATTTTCATGAGGTGCCAGAGCCCAGGCAGCAGCAAAGTTGAAGTTTGATAATGGCATATTGATTACAGTCAGACCCCGTGCTCAGCATTAAGACGGGCAGGACTGCATTTTAATTGCACTCGATTATGATGCAGTTGTGAAATTAAAACGTTTTCGAGTGTGTAAGCATGAATAGGGGTAGTTGGGCTTGGGATTGATTTTTTTGCGATATAAAATAATTTAAATGGAATTTGTATTTGAGGCTGATTAGGATAAATTACATGCATAAACATTGTTCTATTAATATTGACTGATTTATTCGTCTTCAAATTTGTGTTCAAAAATCTTAGACAATATGAGAATATTTAATATTTAGCTACGTAGAAAATGATTTTAAATTAAATAAAATGTTGCTTAGACTGGTTAGAGACAAGAAGTAACTGGCTTTTTACGAAAGTTTAGTTTTCTTTAATGAATCGTAATGTTACTTCACTTGCTCTCATTATAAAAATAATAATAAACAAATCATTTTTGCAATGTAAAACAATGTTGTTTTATATTATTACATTTTCCATTACAATTGCAGCTAGAAAACATGTATTTTATGTATATAATATGTTTTAACTTTTTCTTGACATTTTTGTGCCTGTTAAGAAGTTGTACTTTAATTTTTAAGAACACGCCAACACAGAACCCCCGTGCGCTTAAATGTAATAGAACAAGATTTGCATACAAAATGAACACCTTACAAATTATGCACATATATTCTATAATTTGTTTTCTGTTGTTTTTTTTTTTTGTGCTTAGTTTTAATTCGCCTTTAGTCTTTTGCCAGCACAACGTGCCCGCCGCTGGAAAATGGAAAAAATTCTTTTATTTCATTTTCTAGCACGTTTGCATATTTCATTCTCTTTTCGCGCGTTTGCGTTGCATTTAAAATTAAAAATTCTTAAACAAAATGCAGCGCCCGCAAGCGTCGCAGCTAACGAGCACAGCTGGCTGACAATGGAGGGCGGGCGATGCAAGCGGGCGGGGCCTCGACATGGGCGGGGCATGGCAGCTAAGCCTTTAAGGCAAAGCATTGACATCAGAGCACAAAGCAAACAGGCAGCAGCAGCAGTAGAAAAAAATAAATAAACAGGGCCAACGTCTGATGAAGTGTCAAAATGAATGTAATAAAAAAACAAATACAACAAGAGGTGCGAAAGAGAAAGCCTAAAGAGAAAGAGACAGAGTGAGAGAGAACGAAGAGAGGGGGACAGAGTAGCGCAACTGGATGAAAGCGCATTGTATATTTAAAATCTACTTTTACAGCTGAGTCGCTTCTGTTTGTTACACATTTTTATTTGCATTGCAGCAGAGCATAAAAAAATATATAGCATACTTTTTTGGGCAACGCTTTTAAACGGAAGTGCAACTAATGAATATGCAAACGGATTCTTGAATTAAATTTACTTTTACTTTAATTACAATGAAATGCGAGCAGGTCAAGCAACGCAAATTCTCTCAAAAAAAAAAAAATAAATAAATAAATAAATAAAAAAAAAGGAAAGACATAAAAGAAACTCTGGTTTTCAAACTAAGCCCTCTGCAGGTGCGTAGACCTAGAACAGACCTTTCCATACGGCTGAATCCTACACTTAACAAAATGAACCGCATAAACATAAATCAGAGATTTATTTACAGAAATGTTTACTATTCAAAACTTAACTTTAGTCCAATTTCAGTTAATTTTCAAATAAGAGCAAACCTGCCAGATGAAAATTTTGAATTATCTACTCACATATATCTATAATACCTGGCAAGCCTGGCAACACTTTTACGCTCTTTTGGGAATTTGGATGCGCTCTTAGCTTACCCAACTTAATTCCTATAAAACTGTGCCACATTTCTCGGATCGCTGGTAGAGGCTGCTTGAAGAACTTCCCAAAATTTCTGACCTATGTTATTCCGCAAAAGCCTTAAATTGCCGTCAGCACTGATGTTGAAATAAAACTTACCTTAGCTGATCACAAAACTTTCACAAAACCTATTGATTTAATTTTAAATATTATTTTAAAAATTCGATACGACTATCATAAAGTATTTCAGTACTAGCCGCACTAAGCTAACTTTACTGCAGGTACTTTTGATAATCGTAAAAGAGCTCGTTAACGTTTCACATCTGGACTTCCCAGTCAAGTTTTTTAATGAAACATTTCTTTTTAGTCCAATTTGGATTGTGAGTTCACTCCTTGAAATTGACTCATTTGTAGCTTTACTTAATATATTCACTTGCCACACTTCACACCCAATAATGGCTCACATGGCTGGGACAGTTAAATGCTCTAGTCATGGCCTGTTTTGTGGCCTTAACTTTTGGCAGCGACTGTTGCCACCATAAATTGCGGCCATTTTGAAATGCCTTTTCAATGGCTGCACTTCCGTTAGCTGCCTTTTGCTTTTGTTGTCCTTATTGTTGTTTTTGGAGGCTTCGCTTGTTTGGCGGCAGGCCGCATAAAATTGCAATTTTATTGCAGTGAAGCATGAAAAAGTAATTGCTATTTCACAAAGCCAGCGAAGCCACAGAGAGCAACAACAAAAGAAACGCTGCAACAGCTGCGCCAGGACAACATGGCCATGCCGTGCCTGAGGTTCAGGATGAGCCCAAGTCAGTTGCCTGGCCCACGACCGCAAAGCACAAGCCAATTTAATGTGCAAAGAAAAAAAGGGAATAGAAAAATAAAATAAAATACAACAAAATTGGTTACAAAATGCAGTCGCCTACAAAAGCGGCAGCAGGCAATAATAACAAGAACAACAACAAGCGGGAATAAAGATTGCTCTAGCAAGTCAGAATCAGAATACTCTAACAGATCTATAAGAACACTGAAAAGCTATAGAGTATATAAATTTTTGTCTATTTACATAGACTGGCTTATATGAGAATATGAATATATGATATGCAAAGCTGTTGACTTGTTGTAGAAAGATTAAGGCAATAAGTAATTAATATAAATATATAAACAAGACAAAACAAATTTAATTGATCGACGTTTAAAGTAAAATTTCGCCTTCTCCTACAAAACAGAAAAAAGGGAAAATAAAAAAAAAATATCCAAACTTGTCTTTTTCTGTTTCAAATTTTGGACCATACCGATTTCCATTTCCATTTCGTCTATATATTCTATTATAATAAAAAACAAATAAAAGGGTATATTGAGATGCGGCTAGAGTCGTAGACTTTTTGAGTTAGGCTCTATGTGCGTGTTATGCTTATGTTTGATTAGCTGCTTAATCTCCATAGTTACTGTAGACCTCATGATGTAGTTAAAATACCCTAACCTGCGCTAGTATCCTGCAAAGAGCTAACAGTTCCGCCATTTGGCACTCGTTCTGTCCGTCGATATTAAAAATTGAAGCGAAATGAAAACTGACGCGGCGCCAAACCACTTAAGCTGCTAAAAACCTATACATAAGGAGTGAGCTAAAGGTTAAGAGCGATGCTGAAGAGGGAGTCGGCTGTGACGGGGCGGGGCGGTGTGTGAGATGGTAGGTGGTGGGTGGTACATGGTTGAGAGGTCACGGCGCGACTCGTTAGACTTGATGGCCTGTCTGATGAGCAGCAATGTGGCCAGGAGCAGCACAGTAGGCACAGCGGGACACAGCACCACCTGCTAATGGCTGTGGGGAAAGCTAGAGAGAGCAAGAAAAGGAGAGAGGGAGAGATAGAAAAGAGCAAACTGAAGCTGGGCATTTTAATAGCGCCAAGGTGACGCTTAACCATTCAAAGCTTAATTTATGCAATAAAAATTCCAACAGTTAGCTAAGGGTGGTTGCACACACACACACACACACACACACACACAAACACACACACGCACACGCACAATCACACAATGCCTACACCCTAATTGGATACAGCTGGTAAAGGAACAGAGTATTTAATTGCTTATGACTAGCTATTTTGTTTTTTTTGTCCTCCGATTTTTTTTTGTTCTATCTTGAAACGTAACCTGAGACGCAACATGGCTCAAAAATGGTTACAAATCGAAAAACAGCAGGGGCTTGGGGCGTCGTTGTGACAGCAAATGCCGTTAAGTGCTGAATGAGGGCTGGCAGCATCCTGGGCGTGGCTGGCCATCAATCAAACGCCTGTGTCCACTATTCAAATTATGAATGCTATCATATTTGATGATTGATTTCAGCCCAGAAAAAAGTTTCGAGCATTGTGTGGCGCTGAGCGGCGCAAGGGGAGGTATTCTCTCTCTGTATGTATATGTGTGTGCTTGTGTGTGTAGAATGTTTGTGTTTGCGCATATGTGTGTGTGAGTGCCAAGGCAAATGGCTGGCATGACATTCTGTTTTTCTTTCTTGTGTAACCCTTTAGCTAATGATGGAAACCATATGACATTTAAGTGGAGCGAAGCGGAGATGAGACGTAAGGAATATAGATTGATAGAGCCTACAACTGAATGGCATTAGATAAGCGTATGTTTGCATTTACATACACATATTTACGTGCAGTTATATTAAAACTGTATTAAGCGTAGGGATCTAGAAACCCTGGTGGATTAGGTAATGACAGCAGAGGTGATGCTTTTGGTATAAAAAAGGAATTTTATCAGGTGTAATAATTATAAAATTAGATTAATAAAAAATAACATACAAGAGAAATTTTATGTTAGTTTATTTAGTTCTTAGAAAGAGGTGAAGTCAACTAGATTAAGAAATATCTTTCAGATACTTGAGTAACTGACAGTAATACTGTAGCTACAAGGAAAGGACTTTCAGTACCTTTCAGATACTTGAGTAACTGACAGTAATACTGTAGCTACAAGGAAAGGACTTTCACATTTTCTTCTAAAACAGGGGAAATATATATTTTGGGAGATATGGGAAAGAAGTTTTTAAACACTGGTAGACTTTATTTCACATACCAAATAATTTCTTATCCTTCAACTAGTCCTCGAATTTAAACTGATTTATAATTAAATCGATGTAAGTAAAGTAAAATGTTTAATTGAAGGTGAAGTCTATCTTATATCAGAAAATCGTTATATCTTAAATACAGAGCCTTAGACCTTTTAAATTTTTGAAATATAAATTCCAATCGAAGACCTACGAGTAATAAATTTTCACAATATAAAGTTCTTTTCTCCATAGCTATTAAATTTATAAAAGCTTATTTAAGAATCAAATGCATTCTTTAATATAAAATGTTTATCTTCGTAACTATTAATTTTATAAAAACTAATTTAATAAATACATGTCTAATTTAGCATGCTTTAAATAATTTATAAATTTCTTAAAGAACAAGAAAAAAACGACATTTGGCTTATAAAAACTTGATTTCATATGATATATTTGAAAGAAAAACTTCAGAGCTTGGCAATTTAATTTAAAGCTTAAATGGGCTGTCAGTTTTTGCCAAAATAGTACAACTCAACTGTATACTTTTTTTGCAAATTTGCTATAAGTACTTCGCGATTCTGTTGTATCTTTTTTTGTCACTAAAAATTATTCAACGCTCTCAAGTAGATGATGAAATTATGTACTTGCCATAATGCAAAAACTCCGCATCCCTTGTGCTTCCCCCTTTCACTTTTCTGTTAGTCCCGTTCACTCATGTGACACATTTTTGACATGCATAAGTATATCACAACTTATATTTTAAAAAGCTAACAATTTCCTCTTACTTTTCGCCCCACTCGCTAGTCCATACTTTCTCCAGTGTTTTGGCTCTTGCAGCTCGTTAGTCAGCGGCAACAAGAACAAAATAGAAGTCATTAAAATCAACTTGGTCGCTTTTATATGGCCGTCAAATGGCCAAAAATTCTGAAAGTCTTGAGGTCTTGGGGTCTTGAAGTCGTGAAGTCTTGAAGCATGCTAAAAAGCTTTCCGTAGCAATAACCGTCATAACAGTGGCACTTGGCTGGCCAACGGGGCGTATGAACGATGTCATAGGGCAGTTGACACACAAACGCACACTCGCACAAACGCACACTCACACATACACAGAGTCATGCATATGCAGCGCTGTAAGCGACGTTGACGTTGTGCAAAGTTTAAATCTGATTATCGTTCGCAGCGTTGTGTTGCGGTACTGTGCGGCAGCCAGGGGGCAAGTTACACAAACACACATATAGCAGCACAATATGGCGTAACGGAAACGGAAGTGCTGCCATAAAATCATAAACATGCACACACGCACATGGACAGCGACAGTTGCCTGCATGAAACATGAACTCTCGCCCGGGAGACAACGAGCGAGGGGTAGAGACGACAACTTCGACTGCAGAGACAAAGAAGTTTCCACACACACACAGGCAAACACATGTATATAAAATATATGTGCGTTTGTGTGTGTACGTGATCATATGTTTTCATAGCTGGCAACAACCGCGACACGCAAAGCCCAACAACTTATTCAGGCTTGGGGGCTTGGCGGTTGGCGCTGGCGTCGGGTGGCAAATCAACAAGGCAACACTTTGCAACTGCTGCACACGCCCACCAGCCCCCAGCTACCCAACACCGCCCACTTCACCTAAGCCCTTCTGTGCCCATTAATAACCCCAATATGTGTAAGTGGCAGGCGGCGGCCTCAGCTGTGCTCTCAGCCAATACATTCATAACCTGCTGCTACACCTGTCATCCGAAACACCCTCCCCCAGCCCACCCGCCCCATCAACACCAAAAATCTCCTTACTTTGGCCCCACAGGGCTTAAAAATTATTGTTGTCAGGCCAAAGAATTTGTAAGCTGCTAATAACCCATTAAAAGGCTTTTGCCAAACTGCACACAGAAATTGCATAGAGAAAACCAAATAGAAAAGCCGCTGGCAGCTCAGCTGTAGGGCGTGTTGGAGCAGCGTGCTGGGCGTGGCGCGACGGGCTCAAGTTCTGCCAGTAGAAAATGTTTGCTACACATATTTTGTGTCATGCCAAGTTGTTGTTGATAAGGCGACACATAACACTGTTCAACATGAACAGGCGACATAAACATACAATTTATCAATTTATTTTAATTTTTTTACCTAAATTTAAACCAAATAATATGTAGTGTTAGTGCGGAATAGCTTTACGGACGCTTTTTATTTTTAAAGCCTACTCCGTTTCTTTTAGTTAATATAAACTCATTTTAATAAACCATTATTCTTGCTGTCATTTGAAGTCTTTCCGCATTGCCAATTTTGCTTATATAGAAGCTTAATCTTATTTCTAACTTACAATATCTTGCAGAAGTTATTAATAATTGTCTTTTTTTATGCATGTTTCTTTCATTTCTTATCTATCTTTTTAATGAACGTTGTATATTTTTTTTCTTTTATCATTCCAATTTCCCATTCATTTTTCCACCCACTGCTTTTTACTTATCTTTTCTTTATTTCATGATAATTATTTCTTAGATACATTTATAGCTTTCTTCCCACACATTAGGCTGTCTAGCCTTCTATTTTTTACTCTTTTGATCGACTCTTTTTAATGAATTACTTTTTTCTTGGTTTTATTAAGCAGAATATTTTTATGTATTTTAAATTTTTTCTATTATATTTATTATTTCATTGCAAGTATTTATCTTCCCAGCTTTCCACTTTTCTGTTGCAAGTAAATGTTAACGCAATATTGCACTCTACATATTATTTTATTATATACGATTATAACTCCTACAAATTATTCGCAATCATCTTATATTTTATCTCCTCTTTCCCCTGCCTTACTTTATGATTCATACCAAATGCTTCAATTCGCTAGAATTTCCTTTGTGCAAAGATTATTATACAGCATACTTTTAAGCGTTTTAAACTGTCTATGCAATTCATTCAGGTGGCAGCCCCCCTATCGCTGTCTTTATGCGGCTTGCCAGGCACAAGAAGAACAACAACAACAACAAACAGCCCTAGGCGCAGACGCTTTCAAGTGCCATAGACAGCCAGGCAGCAGAGGCTGTGGCTGCGGCTGCGACTGAGGTTGTGTCTGGGTCTGAGGTCGGGCCTCTTCTTGTTGCCATGTTTGTTGTTGTTGTTGTTGTTGTTGTTGTCGGCATGCTTCACTTGAAGCTGTCGTAAATGTCACAACTAACAAACGCCCCCACAGAAAAAAAAAAAAACTAGAAAAAGATATTCTGCCCACTCTTGAGTGGTTTTATGTGTCAAAGTGACAATATGTTGCCGGCGTGCATTATGAAGTTGCTGCCGCAGCCGCTGTTGCAGCTGCTGCTGCTGGCGTGCAGCTAAACAATGCACCAGCTTGTGCGGCAACAGTTGCTGCCAAGTGGTTGCGACAACAACAATTGCAACACACTCAGCAACGACAAGACAGACAGACAGCCGTTTGCTGCTGCTGTTGTGGCTGCTGTTGTTGCTGCTGTTGCTCGAGTGTTGCACTTGTGCTGGGTATTTTGATAAACGGATAATTGTTGTTAAGGGGCACTTACCTTTAGCAGATAAATTCAAATATATCAATAAAAATATCCATGAGTGTTTATTAAGTCCGTTGATTAGAAGTGTGGCGCTGCTACTGTTGTTGTTGTTATTGCTGCTGTTGCCGCTGCTGCTGTTATTGTTGTTGCTGTTGGTGTTTCTGATGCGCTTCCAACTGTGCAGCAGCTGCATGCCAATGGCATTTGCATAGGAAATAATGGCGGTGGTGCTGTTAGCAATGGCTCTAAGCACTGTTGCAGCTCGCTGTTGCAGCTGCAGCTGCATTTGCCACAGCCTCAGCGCCGGTAGCAACAGTTGGAGTACAATGCCAACACTAATTGGCCAAAGGCCATGAAATAAATTTATGCTGTTGCTGTCACTGCTGCGCTCTAGCCAATATGTTGCTGTGGTGCTTTGATTGCTGTTGCTATTGCTAAATGTTGCTGCTGCTGTCACTGCTGCTACTGCAGCTGTTGGTTTTCTTTTTCGACGCCGACGTAATCTTTGCCTCTTTCGTGCGCACAGTCTTATGTTTGTATGTGTTGCTTGATTTCTGCCGGCTCTGGCCGCTGACAACATGTTGCTGTCTAGCTGTTGCTGTTGCTGCCGCTGCTGTTGTTGCAAGGCCCTTGCATTATGTAGACGGGCGCTGTCGCTGGACACGCTGACTACATGCTGTGGGTTTGTTGTTGCTGCTGCTGTTGCTAATGTTGTGTTGTTGTTGCTGTTGCTGTTGCTGTTGCTGTTGCTGCTGCTGCTGCTTCTGTGGTGTTTTGTACTTAAGCTCTTTAGTTGCTGTTGAGTAAGTTGGTTTTTGGTGTTGTGTGCTAATCTAAAAGCCAGTTGTTGCTGCTGCTGCTGCTGCTGCTGTTTTTGGTGCTGTTGCTGCTGCAGCCACAGCTCATCATCATCAACTTCACTCAGCTTCAGTTGCGCATTTTTCATAGTCTCTTCGGTGTTTGCTGTTGACGTTGCGTATATTTGTTTTAATCCTTTTGTTCCTTTCCTCTTTTCTCTTTTTTTCTGTGCAATTTCTTATACAGTTTTTCCTTCTTTTCGAGGCTTACATTGTCTCTAGTTCATTTTTTGCTGCTGCTGTTGCTTAATATCTCTTAATTTTACAAAAATTCTTAATTTGTTTTCCCTTTTTTATTTTCAATATGGCGAGTATATGTTTTATTGTTTGCCCTTAGCTGCAATATTTTTTTAATGTTATTTTTTTTTTGTCGTCTTTGTTGCTTTCCTTTCTTATTTTGCTTTCTTTGTTTGTGCTTACAACCCAAAGAGTGTGTGTGTGTTTTTTTTTTCAATCTTTTTCTTTTTCTTATAGTTAAGGTTTTTCACTTCAGCTTGGGTTTTAGTGCATTTTCCTTGTTTGAGCGACTTGTAAATTATTATTTTATACCATTTTGTCAAGTTTTCAGCTGTTGCTTATAAAATTTCCTTTGTTTCCTTTTTTGTTTTTTTTTTTTTTTTATAGTTGCTATATGCTAAATATTTATTTATTTTTTTTGTATACTTTTTATATATTGCGCAATTTAAACATTAGTTGCTGTTGCTGCTGTTATGTTTGATGCTGAATTTGGTTTTGTTGTTGCGGCTGTTATTCAATTGCAATTGATTGCAGTTTCTAGATGGCAGTGCTTTGTAGCTATTTGCTATTGTTGCTGTTGCTTCTTATTGCTGTGGCAAGACGGGCCTGTAAAAAACAGAAAATACACAGATATTGAAATATTTCAAAATATATTTAATTAAAAGTTGGGTATCCCCTAAATGCGTACAATACAAAAGCTAATAGAATTTTACTAACGGACTTTTCTTAAAAAATGTTGTGTTTTGAAAATGACAATAATACAATTTAAATTTGTTTGTAGACCTGAGCTTAGATATTATGATATAAGTACAAGAAGAGCAATCAAGCTTGCTCGATTTAAATAGTTACTCTTCAATTATAAGTTCACTTTCACAAAAAACCTATAGTAGCCACATATCCATAGTCATATCTGAATGTTCTTCTATTATAATTTATCTTATGTTTTTTTAAGGCCGCACCACCACTAAAGTTCCAGAGTAATTTCTGTTTATTTTACACTCTGACCTCAAAGCTCTTCGATTGTGCCTCGCAGCTAAAAACCCTCAAACTAATTATGTGATCTACTTCAGCAGCTTTGAGTGTAAGCTACTTGAAAATATATTTAATTATGGCCAGTTGTTGCATTGACAGCATTTCCAATTGCTCAACATATGCAGAATATTGAAGCATTTAGAACTAAATGCCGAGCAGTCAGGCCAGAATGTCAGAAATGAGTGAACAAATGGAGCGTATTGTTTCACAACCAATGAAAATCAGTAGCATTAGTATGGCCGGCAGCGTGAGGGGCGGTTCGGTTCACTTTGAGTTTCAATTACTGCTCAAACTAATTAGTTTTGCTAAAACAATAAACCCAAAACATTTTGCATGCTAATCGCTTGGCAGGAATTTGTGCAGCTGCTGCCACAAAGTGAAGCGGAGCCGTTAGTCCTGGGTCCTGGTACTTGTCTGACATGCTGGTCAGGACAGGCAGGCATACTTATGGCAGGCATGCCAAGCAGACTTTTGGTCTGCGGCTCGCATAAATAATGCGCATGCAAAACGATAAACGCACAAGTGCATCCTGGACGCCGAGCGTATCCTGTCACAGTATATGCACACGTATCTGTGTGCGGTTGTGCGTGTGTGTGCAACCAAATGACCAAAAGCAGCAGCTGCAGCAGCCTCCAGGAGCCTCTAGCCTGCACAACAAATGCAAATGCTAAACTTTCAAAATGGGTTTTCGTTTGGGGCACCAACGTTGACGTTGATGGACATGTGCGGGGAATTTGTGGCATGTCCTGCTGGGGCAGGACACTTGACATCCAGCCTGAGCCGAAAGGCTTTATATGCATATTCATAACCAAAACTTGTTACATTCTGCACAAACACAACTTTTGCATAAGAAGAAAGCCAGCAAAACCAGGCAAAAGCTGAGCAGCTGCAATTACAATGGGCCCAAGAGAGAGTGAGTGAGAGGGGGTCTACTTGAGCCTGGCAAAGAGTTTGTAGGAAGGAGCTTCAAGGGGGTTTGTAAAGGCTTATAGTACTCTCGGTATATAGTCGATGCAACTGTCAATTGTTTTTGAAAAGCGTATTTTTAACCACAAAAAGAGCACTGGGCAGCAGGTAGAAGGAGCAGCTAAGCACTTAGAAAGAGTTAGCAACAGTTGACAAGCTAAAAACATAAATGGAAGGTTATTTTTGGATTGTCGAAAAATATGTACAGTTTTAGATATGTAAGAGCAAGCAATACTATATAATCCAAGCCTTCGATAACTTAATTTTAATTTTAAACTAAATATTCTTAAAGAAAATACTATATAATATGAAGCTGCGACTATAAAAGGATTTTATCTTATAATAAACACCTTTATCGTGAAATCTTGGTAAACGAACAAGTTCCAACTACAAAAACTCATTCATTATATCAATACTTCCTATAAAACAAACGCACGACATTAGTGAGGGAGCTATTATATGTTTGGAAATTATATTTAAATCCTTCATATTGGACCAATTGGAAGTAATATTAAAAAGTCACATGTACCTCAATTTCAGCTAACCAACTTTTAAAGGGTAGAAGCTGTGAAAATCAAAATTTAGCCTGCTGCTGTCAGCTGCAGGCGAAATTAAAATAAAATGAAAATAGTTTTTGCCAGTAAACTGCAAGCTGCCTTTGAAAAATGTTATGCATCTTCTGGCTGACACTGTAATATGATAAATGTTTGAACTCAAATAGTTCTGGCAGCAGAAGAAATGCATTGGGCCAGGGGGGGGCTTTTGTTATGAAATGCGATTGGCTGTCAAAAAGTTTTATGCAAATATTTTGTATGCAAATCAGTTTCTGACTAATAAACGAGTGCATTCAATTCGATTCTGCATAAATGACTGAATAATTTGCCAAAGATTTTATTGATACAAATGTGTGTAAAATGTATATTCATGAATTGTAAAACAGGCAGAACTTTATAATCGCATTATTTTCTGAATAAAAAAATTCAAACTAATATTGGCTGCTTTTCTTCCCACATTTATCTCGCACTTAACTAAGTCTAGTGAGTTTTTGGCGTAATACCCACTAAATTCTTTCTTGTCACATGCAAAAAACAACTTGAAAACTTCTGAACAAATGGCTGTGAATAAAACCTAGCGAAATTTGCGCAATTTGTCATCAAGTTTTCTTCAGTTTTTTTTTTTTTGTTTTTTTTTTTTCACAAACGAATAAAGTCTACTTGAACAAATATTCATTTTCTGACACTGTCGCCAGTACGCGAAAAATATGCCAAGAACAACAACATGAGCAAAGCTAAAACATGGCTAAGAACATTTTGCACATAATTCTTGCCAGCCGCAAAATAAAAACGAGCCACCAACTTAAGAGGAAGGGAGAAAACCCAAAATAACAAAAAAGAGGTTCCAGTCGGGAGCTTCCGACTAGGGTATACCCTGAACCCTCTTATTCCCACACAAAATGCAGTTCGCGCAACGAGTTCGTTTGAAGTAATAAAGATAAATTAAAAAAAAAGTTCCCTTAGCAGGGTTCCAACTCGCAACTGACCGCATTACTTGCTGACGACTCTACTCATTATCGGAAACAAACTCGACCTGCGCAGGCACTAGGAGGACCTACAGCCAAAATTTCAAGTCTCTAGCTCTTATAGGCTCAGATATCCTTGCGTTCATACATACGACCAGACGGACGGACGGACAGACGAACAGACGAACAGACGGACGGACAGACAGACGGACATGACTAGATCGTCTCGGCTGTTGATGCTGATACAGAATATTAATACTTTATGGGGTCGGAGATACTTCCTTCTGCCTGTTACATACATTTTAGGGTATAAAATAGGCAAAAGAGGCTCGTCCAGGCAAAGGCTGAAAAAATTTTGGTGCACACAAAACGAATTCATAATTCATTGAGAGAGAGGGAGAGAGAGAGGGAGAGAGAGCGAGAGAGAGAGGGAGAGAGAGAGAAAGAGAGAGAGAAGGGCGCAAAGCGGGACGAACGGGCTGCGGTAAAGCAACCGGCCTCAGGGCCTGGGACCTTAGCTAAGAGTTCTACTGCCTGCCGTATCATTTATACCATGCAGCCGTTTTTTTTAACAACCAGGCCGAGTGTGAGCGTGCGTCTGTGTGTGAGAATATATACCCTGTAAAAGCATAGAATCGGTATGCGACGGCAGTAGCAGGCAACTTAGAACCTAGTACAGCTATAATATATTAACAAATTAGCTCAATTAGTTCTGACATAATATATATTTAGTGTGCTCAACATTTAGAATATTTTTAAAGCAAAAAGCTTTATTGCATGAAAACCTAAAATAGTCGCAGTTGTTTGAAAATATATGCAGACATTTGAGAATTTTCTATTAGCTCGGAAAACCTTTTATCGCAAAGTGACAAGCCATGTCGGATGAAATTTTCGGTATATTATCACATACAACAAATAGAAGTTAACTTAACACCTTTTTTAATATTAATGAAAAATTCTACAATAAATTATAAATATGGTATATATTATTTATTATTACATATATATAATATTATTAAATATAATAATATAAAATATATATAATATTTATAATAAAAAAATATTTCTAAATTTTTCTTATATTTTCACACAACAAGAAGTTGAGCTGAGGATCGATCATTTCTTATGCCAAAAACTTCAATCCAAGCAAATGAAAATCCAAGAAACTAAATAAAAATAAGTCAATATTCTCAAAACACAATTATTTTCTAATATTGAAATGAATGTAGGGTAACTCGCAGTCTTAGCAGTACAACAACATAGTTGTTTTCTTCTTTTTTGTTTCAACGATGAAAATTAATTTGCTCACGCGCCAGTCGAGAGTCACCTCGCAGTCGTTGCCTTTTGAAAATGGTTTCATCTGCAATGCGACGCGGCCAGTTGCCACAGTATCCACATTTCAAATACCCCCGCTGCCACCCTGTTTCCTAGTAGAATGAAATGTGCGAAAATGGCGTCCATTTGATGCACACAATTTGTGCGGCGGCAATCGCATAAATTTCATAAAATTTCATG